TAAATATCAGTTATATGGGCTTTACCAAAACATATACAAAAAACTAGGATCAAGTGGCTTAGCTATAAACCAGTGTCTACACACTCTGAAACCATAAACCAATGGAACATTTTTAATGAAGCGATGTTAGGAATGCGTTCAAAAGTCAAACAAAATACATAGTTTCGTATAAAAACATAAGATTTTCTCGAAAGCAGCACTTGTCAAAACAAAGCAGTTTCTTGGTGGAGAACAGAAACTGTAACCCCACCAAAAACAACAAACAGTAACAGATATACATATTTATAATACTTAATATATATTAAGTATTTCCACTTTCTAACTATTAATGGGGCTGTCATATAGGACAGTACACATCCTGTGTAAGGAACATGATACTGCCTCAGCAACAAACATTCAATTAGCATTTGACTCACAAAGCAAATAATACACAATAGGCAAGAAGGGAACACCCAGCTTCTTATTTCAGGTTGGCCTTAATAGAATCGAATAGCTCAGCTAACCAAACTGTATATACAAAGAAAAACATCCTTCTGCCAATCAGTGGTCCAGAAACCATATATGCCAAGTGACCTGTCTGCCAATATAAAAACAGGCGTTTTACTCAGGACAAACTAATCTCTGTATCAGCATAAAGACTGTAAAGAAAAATAGAAAATACGGCAAAATTGTTTTAATGGTTACCTTTTGGACCGGCGCAGGCGGGCTCCACTGAAGAAATGTGGCATGTTAAAGTTTGACAGCACTGTCCACAGACTGGAGTCTGACATTGTGTCCAAGTCATGCCAGAAAGGGAGATGTAAATGGGGATTTTGAAGACCTTGTGAGGAAAAGCGACGGCTTTCAGGGTTCGGGAGGATGCGACCCCCAGAGCAGTCCTGACAAGTACTCCTACAATGGCTTTCCTTAGGTCCAAACTTCCTCTGCACAGGCACATCTGCAGCCAGATGCGGCATAAACACACAGGCAGAGAGGACGCGTTGTCCTCCTCTGTCCTCAAATAAAAAAGTACCCAGGGAGGATCCTGAAAGGCACACAGTTTGTGTGATCCAGGTCAGGTGTAGACAGCCTTCACTGTTGCATACACCTAATGCTAGCTGACTTTTTGTTTTACCGTCTCACTGCGACTGTATGCTGTATCCCAAACACTCACCCTGCACCCTTCGCTCAACATGCTTCATATCATGTAACAGGCATCTACCACTTCACATCCTGTGAAGGGGGGTTTGTGAGACAGAGGGGTGCTGCATCATCAGCAGATGCGGCTGTGCACTCGCAGGCTGGCACCCCTCCAAAAGTTCGGTGGGTCAGTGTATTAAGCAGGGCTCATTTGAAATGGAAATTATGTGATTTTGCATGGATTTCTTCTGCTACAGCATAAATTCTTCCCTCAGCTGTTCCCTGCATAAACAGTCCTACCTCATTCATTGGATCGGAGCCTCACCTTAACTCCATCACCTTTGATCCCTGCCTCATATTTTCTGATCAGCTCTAAAGACAGATAAGCATCTGGGCACAAGTGAGTACTGACAAGCATGCCGATAAAAAGTTTAATACACGTTTACAATATCCAAATATATTATTTACTTTAATTTTATTACACCTGACCTTTCAGAAAAGGAAAAAACAGGTTGGAAGAGCTGTAATCCTGCTTGCCCATGTGTGTATAACACACACAAAACCTGGTGTTTTGTCAGTTCAGTGATGATTTTGACTTTTGAGTCTTTTGTGTATGTGAGACTTCAGTCTCAGCTGATCAGGGTTATGAAAAAAATAATATTCCAAAACATATGAACCATTACGAGCCTGTTACAAAGAATCTAACCTTAAGGACCATGCCACTGATTGTTTCTATCCAGTGACTATTCTCTAAAGGAGAGAGCAAAGTTCAGCCCTGCAAACAGACACTTGGCAATGCTGCAATAATAAAACTCAAGAGCTGCGATAACAGCACCTCTGTTAGTGTGTGTGTGTGTGCAGAGTCAGAGGTGGCTGTAACCACATGATTGATGGAATAAGGTATACATGTTACTTTCACAATCCAGCTTCAAAACATTTGTCGTGTCTTATTGAACAGAAAGTGAAAAGGCTGTCGATGTAATTTGCGCATGAAAAAACAAAATAAAACAAAATAAACGCAACTCACAAGATTGACAAAAATGAGGGCTAAGGTCTAATATTTATGGACCAGTCAATTACTTGACAAGTCAGCTGACAGACACTTAATTGACAACAATTTGGATAATTAAAAAATGGTTTATGTCATTTTTTAAATAGAAATACCCAAAATCCATTGGTTCCATCTTTTCTAATGTAAATATTTGCTGGTTTTCTTAGTCTTCAGTGATCAGTTGGTCAGACAAGAACAGGAGAGCAAAAGAAGTGGTTGAAAGACAAAAAGGAAGTGCACGGTCAGACCTGAGGACTATCAGGATTCTGCAGATTAGTCCAACCACTTGCCAAGTGTACTGCTTGGAAGGGATTCAAACGCTCAGGAAGAGCGATGAAGAGTGAAATCGACAAAGGAGGAACACCGCCATGACCGGCAGATAACCAGTGGTTCCACTTACGTGTACCTCTTCTGCAATAAGGTGTTATCAGAAGCCATTTTTGTCAGTATAAAGTCACTGTGTGTGCATTCCCTCAGAGTGGCTCAGTCCGTCTCCCTGCAGGCCAGCGTGACAGCCTTCACTCTAATTATGGCTCTGCTCTGTTTCTGTGTTCCACATAAGAAATTATGGTTCGGATGGTTCAAAGTCAAACTTGCATAGAGCAGCATGAATAGGGAGGTCACTGGCAAAGCCGATATCACATGCAGAAGATTTGGGTTACTGTACTGGTTACTACTGACTTAACTGGTTCCTAGCTGTTTTTGAAAATAAAACAATATTTTAATAATGAAATTAGTTTTGCTTTAGCGACACAGGAAGATACAGTATGTGCTGTATGTGAGATATATATGAATTTATACAGTATTAATCCATAATGATACACAGGGTCAGTAATTACAGTAGCAGAAGCTCCAATCTGTTATCATTCATAAATCTTGGGAAAGGTCAGTATATTCTGTGAAATCTCCGTCTACTCTGATAAGTTATATGAAATACAGAAGCCGAAAATCCTTCAAACTCAAACTGAATTTCCTGGATTGTATTTCAGTTCTCAATGGTACTTGAAACAACACACCCCACCATTGCAGCCTCTTGCTTTCATCTTTTTTTTTTTCTAAACACAGAGCTGTTTTCAGTCTGAACGCCCACAATGATTGGCTACTATGTTAGCTAGCTACATCTGATAATCTGCAATGTCAGAGAAACTGTAACTCTGCCACCAACCTCCTTCACGACCATCAATCAGTCACCAACAACCTTTCTCTCATACGGTTGCTGCAAAGTGCTGCTGTATAAGCAGTTCTGTAGATGCAGATGGCCCTACACTGAAGTATATTAGTGCTGTAGGATACTGTTCTCTATAAATACAAGTTACAGGTTACAGCATCATTCTTTGAACACACTGTATGAATTGAGACTCTCAGCCATTGGTACATGAGCGAATAAAAACTGAAATTGTCAATACATAAAATAAAAAAACCCAGTAAAAAACATCTCCACGTTCTTGTCTGACTCACTTAAATGCCTGCTCCACTTGACTCTCTACAAAAGCTGAGTAGAACAAGAGGGGATCAGAGGTGACATGGGTGGGTGTTTCATGCTATTCATTGATACAGAAAATTCTTCAGAGCTGAGTGTTTTGAATGAGCGGGCAAAAACAATTCCAAGATTCATTCCAACTATTTCTCTTGACAAAATCCACACCAGCCTGAATAAAGTAAATAAATCAAATCCTGACAGACTACCTCCCTTTTTTATATGAGTAAAACATATACATTTCTTGAGCAGTGAGTTTTCCGTTTTGAAATGTCCTGTTTTTGTTTTACTTTGAGGTTTAAGCAATTAAATCCCGCGTGTTTAAGCTCCCGCAGAAGGCTCAGTTCCATAAAACTAAAGCTAACCATGAAGTTAAGATGTATGGTAGAAAACAACACAGCAACAACATGATATTTTAACACGATCAAGGAAAAAAACTAACTGTAAACTAGTCCACTTTTAACAGTAAAAAACCTTCCACCTTTATACTGTATATAACTGTTGGTACTTCTTTTGTACTCAGACTATTTTTGTATGTAATCAGCACAGACGAAGCAGGCAAGACTCCAATCTATCGTGTCATCAAAAGACACTGGAGTTCTTGGCCACCTTTTCATCCATTTGTCAAACTAACCAGTGTTTATATAAACACTAATTAAGCAACACAGAGCCACAACAAGATGGCGCCAACCTTGAAGACCTATTTGAAAGTGAAATCCCAAATGAGTTTTGTCTGTGTACAAAGACAGATTCAGAGCTTCTTGACGAGTGAAATATGGAGTTCGAGCAGAGGACATGCCATCTCAGACATGACTCATGCACATTAACCCCCGAAAGGAATAATCTTTTCAGTGACAAGGATAAAAGTCTTGGTTTTTGAAAAATAATCTGAGGTTCTACCAGTACATACAGATTTTGAAATACTAATCATCAACTAGTTGCGATATAAGCAATTCGCTTGGATAGGAAACCATTACTGAGAAATCCAAAACTAGCTTTTACGGTTTTGAATATTAATTATTCCTAAATTTATCAATCCAGCCGGGATTCAGACAGATTGAGACCATTCTTCACTTTGATGTACTGCGAATGCCACAAATCCTACTTAGCACATGAAAGAGGAGCATAAACCTCAGAACAGAGAGGGGCAAGATGGGGGAAGGGGGGACACTATCAACATTATATAAGCACTGTGTCCTCCTCTTTCAATGTCATATCAATGGCAGATGATTTTAGGAGGTCAAACTGAAAAACCAGTTCCAGCCTTGTGAAGCATGAAGGCAGGACTTACTTAAACATGCACTAACAGGCCTTTTAAAACAAAATAGCCATGTTTTAAGAGCTCTCGCTTACCTCCAAAAATGAAAAGCGTGCAGCGGGCTGCACGGACTGCAGGGGCTAGTGGGAGTGGGGCTCAAGCTTCGGGGAGTGAGGCTGTAAGTTAAATGGAGTGTAGTGAATAGTTGTCTTTTTTTCACAAACAGGAAAGAAACCCTCCCAATACACACAGTTCTGACACATGCCCAGATAAAGACAGCAGCATCATGAAGAGTAATGATCCCTGTCAGATGAACCAAAATCGTGTTTAAAGAGCAGGTTCCCAAGGCATTTGTTTGGTACTGCAGTGTTAGTTCTACGTTGGGGATGTCTCACCACATAGTTTCAATTGAGACTAAAAAGCTGAAGATTATAAAAGGGGAGTTACAGATGAACCTACTTTCATATTCTTTACTGAAATATTGAGATAAGGTTAGAAATAGCTTCTCTCCTGTTCATCCAAATCATGCAGAAAGACTAATTTTACCTATGTGATGTCATGGATTGAGCTTTATTTAAAGTGAACACTGGCACTGCAGAGCACTGGGTCATATAGAGGTGAGAAACTTTTACTGCAGTGACGGACCAAAATACGCTGTTTAAAGGATAAGTCTGGAGAAGTTCCATGGAAAGAGCAACACGGACAATGAATGGATCCAACTAACAAGTATTGTATGTGTATCCAAAGCCTGCCATATCTGCCATATCTGATTCCTCTGTGCCATACAGCTCCAGTGTTGTCCCAAAACTATTATAACACATCAATGAGCCACACTGTTGCACTGGGTGACATGTCCTCTATTAAGATGAACACGGGCACTGTGGTTTATTTTGAGTCAATACCACATACACCGTCCTGCTGCAGTAAATCCTCACTCGCACACCAAATGTCTATTAATCCACTGATAAAAATAGTCCCCAAATAACTAAGCACTATTTCCCCCTGTTTGAATAATGTTTGCTAAAATCTACAATGTCCAGCTGTTTAGAGGAAATTACTGAGCATTTTTTGGAAAAGAAACGCTATGTTTGTGACCCAATTTTAAAGATTTACATCTTCACTAGGAACCAATTGGCTTAAGGGGATCAGAAAGTATTGATGGAGAAACACATTATGTTGGTTTTGATATTTTCAGGGGATATGTTGACAATTCTAGAACATATCTGTATATCTAAAATCTGCAGAGAAAAAGGTTTTATAGCTAATTTAACATAGTCACTCAGCCAATTATGCTAACTCAATTGCAGATGGAGGGAACTATAACAAATACCTTGTTGACCTAAATGAAACATGTCAAATAAATGACTGTGGCTTTGTTAAAATGGGAAACCTGCCATGTAAACATACAGCCTTCAGTGATTCACCTTATTGATCACCATCTAACACTGCCACAACACTCATCATAGGTGTGTTATGAGTCTGTGTGCGTTTCCTGCGTATGCTCTGTGTGAGTGTATGTGTGTCACACCAGTAAATAAAGCATGTCGTGCAGTTGCAGCACTCCTTTGCGTGACACATTTTCTGTCCATCTATCACACAAACGTGCATGAAAATAAATAAATGCGTGAACACACGCACACAGACACACAACCACAAGTAAGCTGCAGTTGCATAGCTGTTAAAGATTTGACATTAGACTTCCTGCTGCTAATGCTAACGCAGCACAGAGCTGAAAGCAACAGTACAAGACAGCAACAAATATGACACAGAGACAGATGAAGCTACATACTGCAGAGGAGCTGCCTCCCCAGTAGGATAACGGAGGAAAATACTCACTCTAGCGTCAGCCCTGGAATTCTCAGCCTCTCCCGCTGGGCTTTCATGGCTGAACTGTGCTCGTTTGCTCTATTGTGGTCATGATGTGCATTCACACTGCCTGCCTGGCTCCCGCCCCCCTGCACTGACAAAGAGCCAAACCCAGCCACCACAGCGCGATGAGACGGATTGGATTTCTTTCCCCCAACAAAAAGGGAGGGGGTAAAAAAAAAAAAGGGGGCTACAGTTCTTGTTTTGGTCTTTCCATGTTCCACCTTGAAGCTGTCAAACGAGATCCTCTGTTGCCTGCGGAGGGCATGGAGGCAGGACAATACCCCTTCTCCCCTCCCCTAATACACGCCCCCTGCTCCTTTACTAATGCATGCATATTTGTGTCCCCCCACCACAATTCCCCCACCAGCTGGTGACTTGCTATATAGCAGAAATAAATGCAAAATATTAAACCTACATTTTCTCTGCTCCTCTACATGCAGTCACCTTGACAGAAGCTAACACAAGGCACGCACTATACGATGCAATGTCACCACAACCACAGGGATGATGTCATCGTCGAAAGAAAAACATAATGCACCACTACCTGCCAACGCAGATCAGTCAGTGTACAGCAAGACAGTGGACAGTGTCCTAACACCTGGCTTCAAGTCCTTTTTATCGTACAAATAAATAAAGATGAAAAAATATAAATTCATCTTGCAGTAGAATTAGTGCATAACATCTAACACTGCAGGCAAATACAAGGGTGAGTGTTTCTGCTCAGATTAGAGAGGCATATGAGTGTCAACAGGATAAAGTAAAATAGCGTCCCAAAGTAATAAAGCATGATGATGCACCAGAGTGTCCCTGCCCTTGCAGGGATTTAAAAGACCCCAGAGGCTACTGCCTATTATTTGTAAAACCACCAATGATTCATTTTGTCCATACTTATTAATGCAGATGCTCAATTGCCAAACCATCATTATCCCAATAACTCAATATGAATGAGTGACTCACTTGCAGGAAATTGTCCAAGGATGAACTACTGCAGGACAAATGGGTGGCTTATTCAGATAATTTGACAATTTGAAAAATTACACCACTAAAAACAAGTAGTGTTTGCAATGAGTCAGCTATAAGTCTGCTACAGCTAACTGCTGTATGATGATACTTTCGTTAAACCTGGAATGATGAGAAGTATAGAAAGCATAATCCGCTGCTAACTCACACACTCATCCAGTAGACCAATGAATTCTTTATTACTATGAGCATGCTTGAGGAGCAAAGAGCCACTGCAGACGACACCAAACACTGCATTAACCACAGAACTAGTAGTTGAGACAGGCAGGAACTGGAGCATAAGAAGATGTGGAGTGTTACCTAGAGTACAACAGGTCAAGGGTCTGCTACAAGCTATAGCCCAAAATGCTGTCCTATAATTTTCAGGCATTCGGACGATCTTTTATTTATTTTTTATCTGACACATCATACATCTTGCAGTGTGGGTCCTAAAAGCTGAGCATTATTCATGGACTTTTATATTTTAATGCAGGGGAAAAGACAATTCTAACAATCCAAGAAGTGTTTGGTAGATATTTAAACCTCTGACCCATGACTTCCTGTCAGTAAATGGTGCTGGACCCTTTGGGATAAAGACGATTTTTTTCCCTTCTGAAAGTCAATGAGACATAACTCCAACATTTTCAGTTAAATCAATTCTGAATCAAGTCTGATTCAAACAATCAGTTTTAGACCGTCAGTCTGCCTTTCGATGAACCAGGAGACACTGTAATAACTTCAGTGACCATCTTATTGCATAAACAACTGAAACTTCACAAATTAAATATATAACTTCACCAGTCATTCCTTTTCAGATGAAAAGATGAAGAAAAGGTGCAAAAATCCTCTCTTTTTTAACATCAGATAGTCAGGACATGATGTCCAAACTCACTCACTGTACACTTGTACACCAATGTGGAGTCAGTCAGTGAGGAATATTCCATGTGTTCTCATCCAGCCTGCTTGGCAGTCCAGCAAAAATATAAAATTTTAAAATGCATGACCATCACCAGCTATGGCTTCAAAGGTTAAATAAATCATAGTTAAGACCAGCACACAAGATACATACAGGTATTGTGTGCGCACTTTGAGATATGCATATTTATATCATCTCCTACACAAAAATTAGTTAATGAATTAGACCCAGGCAGACTTACAAAAACAAAAAACAGTGTGTGAGATATAGAGAGCGCTCTCTCTCTCTCTCTCTCTCGCTCTCTCTCTCTCATCACACTATTATAAAACAGAAAAATAAATAAACAAACTATACTGGACTGAATTCCTTTTCGAAAGTGTGACTTTTTTTGTGCTAGTAATTTGTGGTTTTTGGTGAAGGCAGGTGACTCACCAAGGTTTTCATAATAATGTACGACTGCTACTGTACCTGCAGTGAGAAAAACTTTCTGACTCACAGCACAGTGTGCAGAGGAGCTTCTATTGTTCAGCTTGAATTAATTTGAAATCAGTTCTACCTGGATGAAAGTGAAGTAGACCCACATCAGTCTCTGCAGCTGCATGCTGACTGCTTTTTAGTTGAACAGAAAGTGGTTCAGAAATCTATTCATTTATACGCCACTATCCTCTTACTGGTCTCTTGGTTTGCAATTAATATTATATACACCTCATTTACGTATCTCTTGTGCAAAGCTGCTACACGGTGGCAATTTCTTATTACATCTTGTGACCATAGACTGTATATAAGAAATGGACGTAGTCATCGTGACGTCACCCGTCGGTTTGTGGACTGCCGTTTTGAAGCCTCGAGATTGGCCGTTAGGGCGCTGCCATGTTGAGTTTTTTCAACCAGCGGCACATGACCATATTTAGACAAGACGGTGTGGGGCTAGCTAGTTTGCTTAGCTAGGTACATCTGATATTCACGTTAACTGTCATTTTAACAGGTCTGACAACTTTGTCTAGCAAAAAACAAGCTTAAAACAAAATGTACTCACCAGAGAAAGTGGACAGCCAAATGCTAATAAGCTTTTTCAACGCCGCTTCCCACGCCAGTGCTGTTGGAACGAGTCATTCTAGCCTGATAGACAGGTTGCAATGGTAACAACTTGTCAATCACAGATAATCCCTCCCTGAAGTATACTCTGCTTTAGGGTCTATTTTCCTCTAAATGGGACCATAATTTACTAAATGAACAACATGTTGTGTTGAAGAAGACATGAAACTAGCGATTGAGACCATAAACTCATCAGGAAAGTGTTTAGTGAGGTAATAAACCAGGTGAGAAGTAGGGTCATCTTACCCTTATTTCTAATGGAGTTGGACTTCTTTTTGCAACCAGAAGAGTCGCCCC